ATTGTGCCACACAGTTCCTCCCTCTTTGTATATAATTCACAAACACTTTTGGCCTAAAGGAGAGCAACCAAATTAGAAATATTAAATAGTGCAGCTTGTGCAGAGCTCCAAACTATGAGTAACTGTACCCTCCCAGAAACACAAGAGAAACTGACCCTCCCAGATGCCTGGGACTTCAAGGGCCGCCCCGCTGAGAGGTCCAAGACTGGTGGCTGGACGGCGGCCGCCATGATTCTAGGTCTACATAGCTACCCTACTCTCTTTTTTTTTGGTGCCCCCCCCCCCCCCAACAATCCACCATGATTCTTTGCTCTCATCTTTGATCTCTTTGATTTTCAGGTGTAGAGGCTTGTGAGAGGCTAACAACGCTAGGAATTGCTGTTAACTTGGTGACTTATTTGACTGGAACCATGCACTTGGGCAATGCTACCTCTGCTAATACCGTCACCAATTTTCTTGGAACTTCCTTCATGCTCTGCTTGCTCGGCGGTTTTGTGGCCGATACCTTTCTTGGCAGGTAATTAATTTTCTAATTGGTTTCACATTTTGATTTTGATATTGGCTCACTTCCATCACTTTTGGTGTTTGGTGTGCGCTTTTTCAATTTCCTTAGAATGATTGATGGTTTAATTAATTCCACTTTTTGATTGAGTAATTCTAAAGGGGGGACAATTTTTCAAACTTTATGAGATCTAGTCATTTGTTGTTAATTAAATATAACATGAAAATGTGGCTTTTCTAACATTACTTTTCCTGTTTTGACAGATACCTAACCATCGCTATATTTGCCACCATCCAAGCAATGGTAAGCTCACCTTACATCATCACTAAAATTAACTCAAACTTAAATTAGTACGCAGTTACGTACCTCATACAAGTTCGATTCTTACTTTTCTCTCCTCTCTAATTCTATACAGAAAAAAAAAAAATGATTTAATTAAGATATAATTATTTGGTTAAATTCATTAGTTTGGGGAAATTGCTCTCTAGTACAACAACACAAAAGTCATTTGGATGTGATGGACACATTATCACGGGGTGATATTAATTCAAGTTTTATAATATAAGTGGACAACTTGATTGATATGTCATAAATTTTAGAATATAATATCAATAAATACATAATATATTATGTTATAACATAAGTGGATTAGTAACATTACGTGAAATTCACACTAGCACTCGCTTTTTACCTTACTTCTTTGCTTGTTAAATTCTTTTTCCTTTCTTAATTACTTGTTTTGGTTAATAGGGTGTGACAATATTGACAATCTCAACCACAGTCCCCAGCCTCCGACCCCCAAAATGCACGGCCGACACCGGCACACCTTGCATCCCAGCGAGCGGCAAGCAACTCATGGTTCTCTACATAGCCCTCTACCTGACAGCCCTGGGCACCGGCGGCCTAAAATCCAGCGTTTCAGGCTTCGGCTCAGACCAATTTGATGAGTCAGACAAACAAGAAAGAAGACAAATGACAAACTTCTTCAACTGGTTCTTCTTCTTCATAAGCATAGGCTCACTTGCCGCAGTCACCGTTCTTGTCTACATACAAGACAACTTGGGGAGGCAATGGGGCTATGGCATATGTGTCTGTGCAATTGTGCTTGGCCTCATTTTGTTCTTGTCAGGAACAAGACGGTACCGTTTCAAGAAACTGGTGGGCAGCCCTTTGACTCAGATATCGGGGGTGTTTGTGGCGGCGTGGAGGAAGAGGAACATGGAGCTGCCGTCCGACGTGTCGTTTTTGTACAACGTTGATGACATTGATGATGGACTCAAGAAGAAGAAGAAGCAGAAGTTGCCTCATAGCAAGCAGTTCCGGTTAGTGTTTTACTCATCCTAATTCCTACGTTAACTACTTTAACTGCATTAACTGTTTTTTTTTTCATCTTATGCTAGAGTCATCAAATTTATTTACAAAAAGTAATTTACGTACGCTATGTTCTTACGTTTTAGTAATAAACAAGATTTGAAGTAGACTCATATTCAATTTTTAGGTTAGCGCTTAGCTGGCTACACCAACCAAAATCAATCGAAGATAGGCAGGGGGAGGCTTATCTGTTTTATTTTTTAGTTTTCATAATTGATTTGTAGCCTTGAATACATACGCCAAAACCAATCGAAGATAGGCAGGGAGATTTTCTATATATAAAATTTAATTTAATTTGATTTAGAAATTAAGAATGAAAAGCATATATTCACGAGGGTTGGGGCCAGACTGTCCTGGAAATCGGTCATCACGCTTCTTGTCTTGGACTTGGATGATTGAATCTTCTTAGTTATCACCTTCCCCCAGCAATATGAAAATGATATGAGCCTGCCTGATTGCCTTGCTCCATCAGTCACGGACATACTTGCTTATGTATTCCACTGCATCTGCCTCTGCCCTCTTTGGCCGCATACTCTATTATTTCAAAATCACCCACTTTTTCAAATCTTTTCCTCTATATATACACTACCTTTGACCGCACTTATCTCATAAACTAGCACAAAAGAACAAATCCCTGAAACTACAAAAACAAAAATCATCAAGTGACTCACAAGGTTTCCCTTGTGCCTCTTCACATGACCATGTTTCTAAAATGGTGTGTTATTATTGGGAAATGTTGCCTCTCTTTCTTTCTTTTTCGTTTTTCCTAAAGTTCCTATGTATGTATGCACCTAGAAAAATGTTTGTTTTCATTTTGAACTTATGAACATGTGTCTGCTACTCAACCTGTCATATGACAACATGAAAGTTCTCACTTGATAAAGTTTAATTAGACGGTGTCTGCTACTCAACAAGTCACATGACATAAAATTTCCCACTTTATAAAGTTTAACTGGATGGTGCCTGCTACTCAACCTGTCACATGACATGAAAGTTCCCAACGAAAGTTCTTCTCAAACTAATAAGAGAAACTATGCTGAGACAAAAACATGATCACTACGTCATCCATGGAAACAAAATTAATTTGTTGGTTTCTTCTTGTGCAGTTTCTTGGATAAAGCAGCAATCAAGGACCCCAAAACAGCCAGCGGTACAACCATGGTCATAAACAAGTGGAGCTTATCAACCCTAACTGATGTTGAAGAAGTAAAATTAATTATCAGAATGTTGCCAATTTGGGCCACCACAATCATGTTTTGGACTGTCTACGCTCAAATGACCACATTCTCAGTGTCACAAGCAACCTCCATGGACCGCCACATTGGAAAATCATTTCAAATCCCACCTGCCTCCCTCACAGCTTTCTTTGTAGGCAGCATTCTCTTGACAGTCCCAGTATACGACCGGCTCATTGTCCCCATTGCAAGAAAAGCCCTGAAAAACCCACAAGGACTAACCCCATTGCAACGCATAGGAGTTGGCCTAGTTTTCTCAATCTTTGCAATGGTAGCAGCAGCTCTCACAGAAGTCAAGCGCTTGAACACCGCACGATCACATGGCTTGACCGACAATCCAACGGCTGAGATCCCACTAAGTGTTTTCTGGCTGGTCCCACAGTTTTTCTTTGTGGGGTCCGGAGAGGCCTTCACATATATTGGGCAGCTTGACTTCTTCCTCAGGGAGTGCCCTAAGGGGATGAAGACTATGAGCACAGGCTTGTTCTTGAGCACTCTTTCATTGGGGTTCTTCTTTAGCTCTCTATTGGTCACTATTGTGCATAAGATTACAGGGCACAGTAAGCCATGGCTGGCAGACAATCTCAACCAAGGGAAGCTTTATGATTTCTATTGGCTTTTGGCACTTTTGAGTGCTTTGAATTTGGTGATCTATTTGTTTTGTGCCAATTGGTATGTTTACAAGGACAGGAGGCTTGCTGAGGAGGGCATAGAATTGGAGGAACCAGAGATTTGTGCCCATGCATAAATATCTGGTTTTTTCTCCTCTCTTTTTTTTCCTTTTTTCTTTAACCTAAGCTTGTAATCTTTTATGTACATAAGGAAAGAAAATAAGAAATGAAGAATCATTAAAGCTTGTTAATGATCACACTACATTGTCTTTCACTAGTCTTAAATGAATATATATATATATATATATAATTTAAATAAAAAAATTTAAAAAAAAACAGAACCATCAAGGCAATGCTGGGGACATTACCATTATTTTGGATCAAATTGATGTGATGTCCCTTAACTTTTATAGAGATCGCATTATCAATTGCGATATAATATGATCAAAGAATAACAATAATACATACCATGCAAAACCATGGGCAACACGTCTCTGTCTCGAGCCTGGGAGGCATCCTTGTCTAAGCCACATCATTTATCCAAATGATTCAACTCCATTCTATTAGGGCCCAGTTCCAACTCAACCCCATTCAAAATCACTATTTCAAAGTTCTAATAACAAAGCAACTATAAAAAATAAATTAAAGGTCAATCACAGTTTTGATCTATTTTACGTTATTTTCATTTCCGGATGTGAGTTAAGTCAGTTAATCCAAGGTAGTGTGCCTGTCTCCTTGCACCCAAAATGAACCCCTCTCCCTCTACATTAGAATCTTTAGAACATCGTCTTGTCACTTTGGTATCTGTTGGTTTATGTGCATAGCTATCACGCATATAGTTCTTTAACTTTTAGTTATATTATTATACATTCCTTCCTCGCTCAATTCTAATCTCTTACCCATCTTCCTCTCTGCTTTTTTAATTTTTTCCAAAAACAAGTGACAAGCCATTAGAGTAATGTACAAGAAAAAATCCAGAAACTTAGGTACATTAACTTTCAAACTGAAATCAAATTTCGGGTATTTTATCATGTAACTCAAGTTGATGAGTTTGCATATCAATATCACAAAGAATTTGAACTGAGATTCAGTTTAATCCTCACCGAATTCAACCCAACGAAGTTCGTAGCAAGAACACTTGTATAATAATTGCCAGACCAAAGCTATTACATAACTGAATGATGACAAATTACATTTTTTCTTTTTATTACTAAAGAAAATACAAATAAATATGAAAATGCTTAACCAATGGTTAGCACCCAAAGAAAAGAAAGAAAAACAAACTACAACATATGTGAGAGTGAGAAAAGGAGAGAGATTAGATAAGTAAACTAATATCCCATGACATTGACAATGATAACATTACAAGGATGCACAAGACTACAATCTAACCATCATCAACTTACAGTCAAAGGAGAGAGAGAATTCTTCTTTAAAATGTCCAGGAGGATATCTGCTATCAACTTGACAAACAAACTCTTGAACAAATACACCAACTCAGGAAACGCCAAGCTAAGTGTTACACAGCTTTGACTGTGGCCATCTCAAGGCGTTTTATTTTTCCTGCATTATCAGAAAAATTACTTAGTTAACAACATTTTAGTGAATTAGTAGAGCCTTAATTCATATATGGCTACCACCATAAACTTTATATATATATATTGCAATTTTAAGAATGTACCAACATAGCTTTCCAGACAGTACACACCTGAATCATAATCATGACCCTTCTAATGCTTCATCAAGGCCTTCACTAAATTCACCAAAAATGTCTGGACATTCATCCCATTTTCCCTGCTTCCGTGTTTCCCAATAGCCACCAACGTAGCGGAAAGGTCCATCTTCCCCTTCTCTCTGGAACCATCTAGGTTTCCACCCATTTTCTTGTAGTTTCCTCGACTGTGCATTGAATATATTCAAGGATCACCATCAACATTAATAACCATACAATAATATTTCAGTTGCATTATACGCCACCTCCGTATAAATATCCACATATTTATTCCAGTCTATACACTGAAAATATTAATAAACATTTTATGTTCAAAATCAAATGGATGAATCAAATAACTTTCTCAAACTGCTCTTCAAATCTTACGGAGCTCAGTAATTTATTGTAAAGGAGTAAAATGAGGGAAGAGGAAAACCACGCATTTTTTGTCATGTTGGAAGAGGAAGTTGCTGAAGTCCCTTGAAACAAATTCCAATATTGACCAAAGAGTATCGTAACTTCTTAACTACCAGAAATATAAAGTCTCTCACAACTTTAAAGGGGAGGGACATACAATCTATAAATGCCGGACTCCAACATGAAGGCTGTTTGATAGACAGGGTTGACTCTAGTTGGCAAGTGACTTGAATCAGCATTTGGTCTGAATATGGTATGGTATTTGAATTTGATGACATAAAGTATAGGGGTGCAATATATTCTTAAATTGGAACATCATAGAAAAACCAAATACAAAGACCACGGCAAACATATGAATAGCAGATTACCTTCCACTCATACAACTTAAAACTGGCAAGAAGAATATCAGCCATTGAAGCTGGCATGTAGGGATGTCTGTGTGCATGTGACCAAAAAGATAGGTAAAGATGCCAAACATACCATTCTTTGCCTTTTCTCCAACCGCTGTTTCTCTGCATTTGCCTTTTCATATTCTCCATTCTCCAAATGCCGCTGGTCCGGCCTGAGCCTGGAATCCGTGGGTGGTAGCTTCTCCTTAATCCGTGATCAAATACCCGGGATCAGACAAAGCTATAAAAAACAATTAGAGATGCATAAGAGGAAAATGAAAATGCATATGAAACATTTGATGTAATACATCATGTCTACCTGCAGTCCAGGTGTTAGCTCGTTCAGTGTGATTGCGAATGAAGTTAAGTTATACCGTGTGATGTTAGGAGGTTTACTACTTTTCCATAACAACGAAGCATCTGAAGGATTTGGCTTGCCACTGCCATCACCATTAACATAATGTATGCTTTCATCCCACTTCCCAAATAGCGTAGCAACCTTTTTCCCCATCACATCTTCCACAACTCCATGGATCTACGTGGATGTAGAGTTGCCATTAATCCAACAATTATGTTCAAACAAAAATTCTCATATTAAAGAAAGAAAATGGTTCTATACTGAAGAGCTTCACAATATATAGGCCCACATAGATGTGAGTTGATAAGGGCAGTGACAATGTTTCAACATTCTTTACAGCATATAAACATCATTCACTCCGCATATTAAAACATCATTCAGGGCCTACAAATAAAAAATGCACCACTAACCTGGTGAGGATTTCGGTCAAGAATTGATTGCTCTTTGAACTTCAGTTTGCATGAATGCTGACGATTACCCCGTATATGCATTGTACCATGGTGATCGCAGTATACTTTACCAAGAATAAGATTATATATACTTGTTGTGACCTATTACAAGACATGAAGATGTTTAAGCATAATTGTAGGCTTGTAATATACATAAAGAAAAGGCAAGAAAATGATTCCAATGAGTAGCCAGTTTGCGGCAAAAACACAATTACACATCAATGCACACCTTGCTCCACTGGAAAATTTCACCATCGTCAAACTCCAAGCTCAGAACTCCAACAGGGTCAAGCTGAATTGATCGCCCCCAAAATTTTGTGCGGATATTGCTATCAGCCCAGAACTTCCACCCTCTACCTTCACAGTGGCAGGCAATGAGTGTTGGGTGGTGACTAACCTGTTTCAAGTAAAAATTTATTGACATATTTGGGATTGAGTAGGTTTTTATTTTGGGAAAAATAATACATTTATATAAAACCACTGTAAGAATATCAAGAAAAGTTATAGCCTTTGCTTGCCTATATCAAGTTTTCAAAAAACAGATATTTGTTGAGTAATTTTCCTTTTCAATAGGCTAGGAAATATTAATAAACTTTCAAAGTCCTTTAAGTGAGAATATTTATGGTCAAAGTAGCATTTTATCTGTGATAAATAAGAACTGTAAACTCAGACATGATAACTACCCCTTTTAACATGAGTGGCAATTTCATTTCCATTTTTTTTCTTCTTTCTCAGAGGACTTAAGCCCAAGCCAACTTATCATATTTCTACTTTTCACTTCTCACAGATTCTATGAAATGGTTCATTATTTGATGTGCTTTTCATTGTCAAAAACTTTGTATTGCAGTTTCTTTTCCAAAATTCCAGAGTCTTTTCAGAAGTTATATGCTTGTCACAAGTTGATTCATATCTCAACCTCAATTTTCAGTTATCAGGCCTTATTTTCAAGTAAAGTTCAATTTACCAATTGCTCCTTTATTTTACTCCCTTACCTTTTCAGAGAAGAAGCGAATTCCTTTATCAGGATAGTCAGCTTCATAAGTTTCGCCTAACAAAGGATTGAATGGCTTGCAGTGCCGCCCTACAGACGATGCATATCCAGAAACCGCAAATGCAGCAACATTTAGAACCCTTTGGAGACTATTTCCCTGATAAGATAAACAAAGATAAGCATACACTATGACAGCAATTTATGATAATTTAAGAAGCCTCCTTAATCTTACCATTTTCCCATACTCATATGCCCGATCTAAAAGATACGAGTACTCCAAGTCCTCACAACACTTCTGAAGAGATGATATTGGCTCGTTAAAGTACACAGGGAGGCAAACTCGAGTGAGATCCTTTCCCACGTTGTCTTTGATCATAGACCAAAGGCTGACCCCTTTCTCCTTTTCAACTGGAGTGGGAAGCTCTTTTCGCCTTTCAATGTGTGCGTATCTATAATCATGAACTTCCTTCTCAGTTTGCGTCTCCTCAACATTATCAAATTGACTTCGAGGTTCACTGTGCTTATTAGTGTTATTTACAACCCCTTTCATTGACCCACAACCTATGTTTGGTTCGGTAAAATACTCTTTTGTGTCATGAAATGGCATTTCATCTTCATCTGACACTTCCTCAAGCTCTTGTTTCTCAATATCGTCAGATGATTCAGTTGTGCTGCACTCTAAAAACCATAATAGATGTTACTACAAAATCGCACATGCTATGAAGCTTGATAAAAGATAATGCTCTGGGATGGCAGAAATTTTGAGTATTTAAGCTTTGAAAGACAAAAAGGCTACAAAGTGAGAACAAAAAATGATGATTTCCATTGACCATTATAGTCTTCATAATTATATTAGCCACTTTTGTATCAAATGAAAAATGACAAGCAACAAAAATAACCATTCAAATGGGTAACCAGTCAGCATTGAAAATCTTATCAACAGTGTATGCATCATCAAGTCAATTCTAATGTTGAAGAGAGGTCGGCAAATTTTTTATTAAAGAATGGATCTTCAATGGATTAGTTTAAAACATAAGGGAATGTATAGTTCAACTCTAAGTGTAGTCAAACTCTAACAACATCTCATGGAGATCCTTAGTTTAGGCCTGACCCAATCAATTGTGTACTCAAGAATAACTACTTTTTTTGTTTAAGGAAAGTGTATTGTATTTAGAAATAGAAAATGAAAGAATATATAAGAAAGTGGATAGAGCTAACATAAACTGTGTACCACTATATTTTCCCTGTCCCAAACTGGAAAACTCATGCTTCGTCAATTGGTATTCACCATCATGAATCCCAGAGGCATCAGCTTCATAATTAGCTGCCTGCATATGCAAAAGTAATAGGCTTAAATTTAATGCATAACAAATACAATTGTAACATAAAAAGATGGGAGGTCACTCGATAATGAACCATTATTAAAAAAACCATTGTAATGCTTTCATATATATGGAACTGACAAACCAAACACCATAAAGAATAGGAATATCTTATGAGCATTGCATTCAAGAAACACAAGACAATGCTCTAACAAATTACCTAAATGGGAAATGATTGAAAAAATAAGAAGCATCCAAAAGGGTAATGACAATTTTGGTTATGACATCTCTCTCGCTCATAATATCAAAGTAGTTTACATTAAACAAAAGTTCAGAATGATTTAAGCCCAGCAGAGCTTGTTAATCAGGACCAGTCCTTGAAAAAAAATCTGCTCTCGAAAGCTGGAATCAATCTTACTTGCATGTATTTGAGGTAGCCTAAGAATTAAAAAAATTGTTATAATGTCGGAAAGCAAGTCAAAGCTTGCTAATTTAATCTTTACATGTCCACTAATTAATGTGTTCATATAGTAACCTTCTCTTGTTAGTGGGAAAGGAGTATATCTATCTGCCTAGCTTTGTTAGATTTCCTCCAATGCAATCCACAGAAATTCCACGGATCCCTCGGTGGATAAGTCCAACAACTCAGCAGCAGTGTGGACTTGGGTATCCTGTCTGGTGGATCTGATCAATTGTTAGTGACATGCATATAGCTTTAAATGCTTTGTGCCAACGAGCTACCAAGATGAGCTTTACAGTTGATTAGCAGGTCCCACACTGTGGGATCCACTTCAGCCAACGCATGCTAATGCTAGCATTCTTGGTTGAGGAAACGGAAATTATGATCCTTTTGTGCTGTTAGACACAATAAATAAGTGCATTTAATGGCGGCATGCATCTGTTCTATGACGTATGCAATTCCACTGACCAGAAATTAGTAAAATCAAGTATAATGGTTTAATTGGTTGAGATATCGATTACACAATAGGCAGTCAAGGAAAGTAACTATGAAATTTGCACAACCAAACTGAAAATATAGACTAAAAAGATAAGAAAAAAAATGCAGTCCTAAGGTGTGAGAAAATTCCTTCATAACAAGATCAAAGATTTAGTTCATTGGATTTCAGGAGTGACTTCCAACTTCTAATCAGGAGGAAGACTGTTTATTACTTCAAAGAACTAGGAGAACAAAAGGACTAAGATGGAAGTTGGAGCTGAGAGAAAAGACAAGATGGTCTATGACTAGATATCATGTGCAACTTAAAATTAACTTTGGGAAAATGTAGTAAGAACTAGTTACCTCCAACTGCCTTAGTGTGTCGAGTAAATTGGATCGTTCTTCACAGAGAACCTTATACTGTCCTTGTATTTGAGAAAATTCAGAGAGCATTATCTGCTCGCAATCCTGTACGAGGTTCTCACTGGTTCCCTCTTCAAGTAGGCGTTTTTTCAGTCTTTCAGTCGATATAGATAAATCAGTTTGTACAAGGGAGAGACAATCATTCAAGGATCTAAGCGGAAATAGACTCCGAGTTGAGACCAAAGCTTGTAGCCAAGCTGCCCGATCACTCTTTGAATTAGTTCTTAAATGAAGGGTCTTTGTAGCAGTAAATATGTAAAACTTCCGATCATCAGACTTGCTTTCTCTGAAGGATGAGATCTGCTAAATAAAGAGAAAGAACCATCTCTTTAGATTACGCAAGAAACATGAAGTATTAGCGTTCAATGTTCAAAACAAATACAAATTTCATTACAATAGCATTCAATCAAAGAGCACAAGTCAATGGTAAAGAAAAGAAAAAATATATATATCATCAATGCAGATAACATAAGGCCCTGAAAAGAAAAGCAGCTGATACCCAGAAAAGAATTCATTAGCCTGAACTCAGCCCATCCACCTTCAGTCTTCAGACCACCAGAAAATAACCCAGGTGAGAGAAAACCACTTCAAGCTCCTAATTAATGACACCAACAATGTAATGAAAACGAGATCATGCCATTTCGGTTTCAAAACCCAAAGCAGAAACTCTACACAAAACCCCCCTTCGGTTTATCACTGCAGAGAAAATTCCTCATCATAGACTTTGAGCATATCCACTAACAATATAAAAACCCGGCTTTGAAAGGGACTAAGAATATGCTTAGAAGTTAAAATAAATTCTTTTTCCCGATTTGAAAAAAGTGGTTGCATACATCTCAACCTTGAAAAGCTTGAAAAGGGCAAAAGCCACCTAATGGCCTCAAAGTCTTCACATTGTTAATATAAGCCACTGAAAATGAAACCCATTGTTCAACCTTCAAGTATACAATAAAATAAAACTTGAAAGCAACCCTTAACTTGTGAACTCAACCCACGCCAAGTCAAAAGGAAACAAACAAGTGAGACAACCAGAACCCAGCAAAACACAGAATCCCACTTCCATATTTCAGAAAAAACACCATCCCCACCGTCCGATCACTGCTCTCTTTCAGTGTTTTTCTTTATATAAAAAAAATCTCAAAGTCACGTCTGCCTTTTGTATATCTGTTACTATATATGAGTACACCAGGAGGCCTTAAAAGTAAGTATAAAAAAAACCAAACCTTGTTTTCTTCTCTTCTTTTGGGTGCTTTTTAAACTGAAATTACACTAGGATGGGACGTGAAATTTTGAGAAAGAAAAAAAAAACTGAAGTGAATCAGAGAGCTGAACGCTCAAATGAGAGCTTGAATCCAACGAATAAAAATCCAGCACCGATGTGACCACAGGATAATACCTAGGCCTACGACGTATCCTATCAAGCCCATGCCCACCTGCTGATGTGACCCACTTCACACTAACAACCAGTTAAACTGTTGAAAAAACAGAGCACGAAACGTGAAAATTGAAATTGAAAATCACAAAACCCAGAAAAAGAGAAAAACCAAAACCCAGAACACGGCGAACAATGCGACGAACCAACGGTTCATACCCAGTTCCCGCTCAGATAATAAAGCCAAGTTATATTTCTCGCAGATTCACAATCAGAACCCAAATTTTTTTATAAAAAAATTAAAAATTAAAAAAAGAAACAGAGAGAGAAAGACAGAAGAGTGAAAGGATAACGTTTTTGGTATAATTTTGAGTAAAGGTTTCTCCCCCGTATTAGAAAGCGTTACTGAAATAGCGCCAAAAAGAGAGCTTCAGCATTTTCCGATTGCAACATTGTTGCTCTAAAACCGATCGCAGCGAATTACGAAAGCGAAGACGAAAACAAAACGAACCGTTTCGGTGCATACATTTACCTTGAGGTGGACGATTCCAACAGTTTTCGGGGGCTTATTGTTCCGTCTCCCCGTGCCGCTGTCAATCCTCGAAAGGCGGTGAGTGGAGATCTCACCGATGAGTCGAACGTCGTCGTTTGGCGTCAAGAGGCTGAGCGTTTCAGGGCGCCGAATCTTGGCGTAGGAGAGGACGCCGTTTCGGAGAAGAAACCACCTGGATCTCCACCCCTTGCTGTAATTGGTCCACTTGTGGAGAACTCCGGCGACGGTGGTCTCAGATCCCGCCGGCCGGCCGGAGGCATTGGTATCAGATCCGAGCGGCGCCTTCGCCAGACTCGCCGGAAGGCTACGGGTCCGGGAGAGCGAGATCTCCGGCGACTGGTCGTCGAGTCCCGCGCTCTCCAGCGTGATGCAGCAGAGCGGGTGCATCTCCTTGACTCGCATTTCGGCCAACCAAAACGACGTCGCGAAACGCGCAATGCAAAAGGAAACGAAACGATTACAAGCGATAACTGTTCACCGATTGTTAATTCCCCATTTTTTCATGCGCTGAAGAAAAAACTGCAACAGACGAAGAAGAAGAAGAAGATTAATAAGAACAATTAATAAATATACGCAGCGTCAAGTTGCGTCAATCAAAATCGAAATTAATTACGAGAAATGAAAATGCAGGCATGCATATGTTGATCGTCACCATCAAAAAACGTGAAAATTGATTTTAGGCTACTGAAACTCAGAGAGAGAGAGATAGAGAGAAGGCTGCTCTGCTTTCTCTCTCTATCTCTCGGTTAGAGACGAACCTGGGGAGAGTGGAGAGCTCTGAAACTGAGAGAGATTCGGGAAGAGAGAGAGAGTGTGTGTGTGATTGTGTGTGTTTGAAAGAGGAGAGGATTATTATAATGAGGACCAAGAAGAGCTTCTTCTTCTTCTTTTCTTTTCTTTTCTTTTTTCTTTTTTCTTTTATTTTTTTAATTTTTTAATTTTTTTATTTTTTATTTTTTTTATAATTATAATTGTTTGGCTTGGATTGATGGCAAAGTATTTATATAGAATAAGTTGGGAAGGGAAGGAGGGTTTGTTGTCTATGTCTGGTGTGTATAAAGAGCAGTGGGTGTGAGACTGAGACTGAGAGTCTGTCTGAGACACTGAGAGAGAGAGAGAGAGAGAGAGAGAGAGAGGTGCAGGGAGTAATTATGGTGGCAAAAATAGTAATTAAATGCATTGGGAAACAGATTTCCAAGCTGGATTCTACTACTTACTTCTCCTTCTCCCTGCTCTGTTTAATCTTCTTTTGCTTTGGACATGGAAGAAGAAGAGAGGTGAAGATCTTTTATTTCTCGCGAGATGATTAAAAGTATATCGGCAAAATCTCGCGTGGACGGTGGATGTGGGGTGTTGGCGTGGCGGCAATCCCTCGGGTGGGGGTGGTGTGGGGAGAGGAACTGAGAATTGGGAACCGGGAAATGGGAGGAACAGAAAATACAGATGCTGAAAGGGGTGTTATTAATATCCATTTACTGTGGTAATTATCATCATTGTTTTTTTCAGAGATAAATGAAAATTCGGTCAAAGTTTTTAGGCCCTACCTATCCTGTTTAATTAGTTGCTGTTTATTAATATTTTTGGTAACCCAAGTTCGGTGCTTTCCCTCCAGGTGGCATATTCCTATCCGACCCGTCGGAGATTTCTAGAGGGAAAGAAAAAATGACACAAATATTGAAATAAATTATGTAAAATATATATATATTTGCAATTGGTCACAGATAAAAATTGGTAAATCTTTTTTATTTTCCTCAAAGTTAAAAGAAAAGAAGGTTGCACAATATAATCTGAGGCTTTCATGTGCATTATAAAATTATGTTTGCTGTGTATGATTTTAAGATCCGTAGAGGATGTTCGTTGTAATTTACTTTATATTAAAAGGAAGGATATAATCCGAGGAATGTTACGGAAAAATATTGGAAAAGAGGTTTGTTTTTATTTTGGTCAAAGGTAAACTTCGTTAGATAAATGAAGTTAGGACTAACATTGTTTGTTCCGATAAGAAAAGTGGATTAAAGGCCAAAAAGAAACAAAAAGATTAGTGCCTAACTGAGACATTATGAAATGATTCATTCCATGATTTGATTCATTATAAATTTTCTCAATCTAACTTTCTTTTTTATCCCCAACTCACTGCGCGTTACTTTCCATCGATTTGGATTACTTGAATGAACCGAAGAAAATTAAAAAATGGCATATTAGAGAAAGACTTTTTTAAAGAGGCAAGTGGCACAAGAAGTTTTCGAGGGTAAAAAACTTGTGTTCCATTTCTAAATTATTTTTTCTTTTTTTAGTATAAGCGATAGTCTAAACTATTATGATGTCGTGAGAATTCAAACTTGAGAGTTTTGGTATGCAGAGAAAGACTTTTTTAAAGAGGCAAGTGGCACAAGAAGTTTTCGAGGGTAAAAAACTTGTGTTCCATTTCTAAATTATTTTTTCTTTTTTTAGTATAAGCGATAGTCTAAACTATTATGATGTCGTGAGAATTCAAACTTGAGAGTTTTGGTATGCAAGTCAATGCCATTTTTCATTGGGCTAAATTTATTTCTTAAATTAGAGATAATTGATTAAAAATATAGCGAGCTAGATTCATGTTGACATGTTCTATTCAAATCAGTTTCCCGAACTTTTCATTTAAACCAACCTTATGATTATGTGTCCGAATTACAAATTCTAATTTTATCTGACACAATAATTATTACCATCACCCAAAAAAAAAATATAGAATTAATAGACTCAAATTATATCTATGGAATTTGTAGTTAGAACTTATTTCAACACATTTTTAAAAAAAATTTAATATATCGTAATGAATAATGTTATTGCACTATCGACAAAAAACAGTTTACCATTGTTAAAACAACCAAATCAAATGAAGCCATCAACAGAGTGAAAAAAATAGAGAAAGTTAGAGCTGCAGAATTGTTAAAAAAAAGTGTTGGGAAAAGGAGAGAGAATAGAAAGACAAAGACACGTGAGAAGAAAAGAGTGAAAGAAATGTTAAAGAATTCAGAATAACCATAATGAAGACAAATGTACATCTTTAAAGGAAAAGACATTTCCTCAAACATATAAATTCCTATTTCAATAACAAACTAATAGTTCCTTTTATTCGTTTGATTAACTAGTAATACACTGACTTACGTAAGTGTCACATAATTTAGTAATATTTGATAAACCTAATATTATTGGAGAGCAAGGCTTGCCTCCTTAAAAGTTAAAACCAATGGCTCCGACAATATTTATAAATTTTCAACGAAAAATAATAAAATAAAATAAAAATTAACATGTGTCAAAAATTCTTCACACACGTCACATTGCTATTAGCGGGAATATAAAAGCTCATACATACATGATAAGGAGGAAAGTATTTTCCCGTTACATGATTCCATTATACTTCTTATGGAATTTGTAGTTAGAACTTATTTCAACAAATTTTTAAAAAAATTTTAATATATCGTAATGAATAATGTTATTGCACTATCGACAAAAAACAGTTTACCATTGTTAAAACAACCAAATCAAATGAAGCCATCAACAGAGTGAAAAAAATAGAGAAAGTTAGAGCTGCAGAATTGTTAAAAAAAAGTGTTGGGAAAAGGAGAGAGAATAGAAAGACAAAGACACGTGAGAAGAAAAGAGTGAAAGAAATGTTAAAGAATTCAGAATAACCATAATGAAGACAAATGTACATCTTTAAAGGAAAAGACATTTCCTCAAACATATAAATTCCTATTTCAATAACAAACTAATAGTTCCTTTTATTCGTTTGATTAACTAGTAATACACTGACTTACGTAAGTGTCACATAATTTAGTAATATTTGATAAACCTAATATTATTGGAGAGCAAGGCCAATGGCTCCGACAATATTGATAAATTTTCAACGAAAAAGAATAAAATAAAATAAAAATTAACACATGTCAAAAATTCTTCACACACGTCACACTGCTATTAGCGGGAATATAAGAGCTCCTACACACTTGATAAGGAGGAAAGTATTTTCCCGTTACATGATTCCATAATACTTCGAAAAATATATTATTCTTGGTGTTAATTAGCCTGTTAATAGTTGGTTTGCATGTTCGTTAGATAGAAAACCCATCAAGCTATCAAATCAAATCAAATCGACTTTCAAAGTTCAATCTAACTAATTAATCTAACTAATTAGTCTAACCACAATCAATATGCCGTCTCTTTTACTCATTGTGATATGACCATTCCATTGGTACGAGCCTATGCACTAAAATGATAAAGTAGCAAGACTAGCTAGGGTGCCGAAGAAGAAAAGATGAATAATGACTTCCACTTCACCCAAAAACAACAAAAAAGATGGTGACTTCCACAATTCATTTTCCTAAACCTTGTACAAATTTACATTAGTCGGTTGACTTTTAAAAACAAAGAGTTGTAGATGTGACAAACTTAAAAAAAGTGATATAACTGTGTATTGTAATTTTCCCTTTACATAATTATTACGCACGCTTGTTAGACTATGAATTAGAATCATTGTGGATAAGTGCAGTAAAGATTTAAAGATATCATTCCACGTGGAATGTGATAAAAAGGTAACTTGAAAATCTTCTAAAGAGATTTGCATTACAAACAAATTACTGTAGAATTAGGAAACCCGAACACTAGACTACGCATGATTAACAATTCCTAATCAACTGTGTAAATATATATATATTTGTTAAATTAAGTAAAACACAAATTTACTAACAAATCAATAGAGATTTGTGAATAGAGCAGTAAAAGGGTGGGTGATGGGGGGGGGGCCCTTTAGAAGCAGCTATGGGTTGCACATCTGGAACCCTCTTAGGCTTAGGAGGTTTTAGTCAATGATACTTGCTGGACACAGCTATTAAAAGAAAGAAAGAAAGATTATTACTCTTCACTTTTCTTTAGATTGATTATTCTTTGCACAATCCTAGGAGCAGTGTAGGAGTTGTTATTTCTATCAATTCCCAACCACATTGATTTATTTCAAGAAATTGACACGAAGAAAGATATTTGCTAAAAATGGGGCTATTTATTTTCTCGAATATCTTGTTTTCGAGAACTACTTGTGCTCATACGCGCTTATGACAAAAGTAATTTTATTATCAAACTCTTGAATTTAAGCGCTTCTATGATGATCTAGAAGCCCTTTTAAACCTTTACGCGAAACTAAAGCACTCAAAAACATGCATACTTGTATAATTGAGAACATGATTCAGTTTACCTTTCTATTTAATTTTCGTCAATGAGTTTCTATTTTTGGCTGAGGAAAAAATAAAAAGAATTTATATCTTTCTTACCTTTCAATTAAAGTGACCAGCAAATGATTTGAACATGCATGGCCGCAACTTTAGCTTGGTTTGGTCCCCACTCTGCTTCAGACTCTTCTATAGTTCATTTAGTGTCATCCATATAGCTTCATGTAAATTTATTTATCTACTTTTGATCAGAAATAGGGTGATTATAATTCTTAACTACCCACGATTAGCACTGTTGATTATATAATAGAATTATAATGATTACTGGCTTCTTTTATCACCTTCTCCTCCATAATCATAGCATATGATTTAAACTCTAATAAACTTTAAATGAAAAGATTTATACTCAGTCACTAGTTTCTCAAAATAGAGACCTTTTTTCTTCTCTTGTGTGTGTGTGTTTTTTAAAAATGTAAAGAAGTAAGAAGCACTCAAGTTTTCTCTTTTTTCAATCTCCTTGTGAAGACAAGTACACACAAGTTTAACTAGTTGTAGAACATAGAATCATGCGGGCACACAAACCCGAAGAGATCAAAATAAAAAGAAAAGCACGCCGAAGGAAGGCTATTCTCCTAAATACGAGAGGGGGAGAGATTATGACCCAAATTAGCTAAACCATCCGCCAAGAAGTTAACTTCTCTGTAAACATGCTTGCAAGTAACAACATCACAAAGCGAACACATCAGCTTGATGTCTCGAATGAGTAATCACCTTGGAGTCTCACCTCTCCTTTTGAGAATTTTAAAATAATAAATTTTTTATTTAGAGTGTAAAATTTTACTACATATACTTTTGTAAGTTTTTTAAGAACTTAAAATCCCAACTACTCTTTTACTCAAGTTCCCAAAAAGCATCAAGAAACTTTGCATTGATTCATATTCTTCTTTTTATTTTATTAGCTATTAGATTTCCTGAATTGAAATTCTTGAGTAGTCTACTTCTGGTTGATATGAATTCTCTAACATATTAAAGCCAATGAGCAAGGGGTTTATAACGATTAAGAATAATTATTCCCGAAATTCTGAGTTCGAATTCCCATCATTCTATATCACTTGTATTAAAAAAATAAAAATAAGAAGTCAATAAATCCTTTAAAATTCACAAGCGATTTAATTGTATGAAATGTGTTGCATCCTCAAACGGGGCCCATTGGCC